ATTCAAGAGGAGTGGAGCTGTTTGGGGAGTTGGTTCACTGGTCTGGGATATCTCCTGTTTATACCGCTTTAACGTCTGTTCTGGTGGGGATTTTATTGATCTTTGGGATTGGTCTCTGCATACAACGCGCCCCCACCATAATAGCCTGTTGTGGTCCCCAGAACCCCCCAGCTCAAGAGCTGAAGAAATGAGGACGGTTGCCAGAGGTACTGGGCTGAGGATCCTGAGCACTCAGCTCCAGTGGACACAGCTCTGGATGGTGGCAGTGAGCCTTCGGGGGGTCGTTATCACCAAGAGGGGGGGATGGCTGGTGTTGTGTACTGAGTCTAACCCTGACAGACCCAGCTTGGGGTCACAGGACAATAGACTGCTAGGATCCTGGGACGGACCTCTGGCCCAGGAGTGCCTCTGTAAACAGCCTATCATGGGCAGTGGGTGGGTGGGGGCTGGGGGGCTGGGTGCGAATTTAAACAGGGCTCCGGTCCTGCGGTCGTTGTCCTAGTTTTGAGCTGTTATCACAATAAAGCACGAGCTGATCACCGACGCATGTCGAACCCAGTATATGTCAGTAGGACAAGGGGAAGAATGAATGTGATTTCTGAATTTGGTTTCTGACGTTTCCTCTGAGATGTCGCTATGCCGACAGCTGTGTCACTGTGCCTTCAAAAGTCTCATTATAATAGATCCAGATCTTGGTAGGTAACCTGGGATTTTCTGGTTAGAGAAACTTATAGTAGAATATATATTTTATAACTGGGGTAGGAAAGAGCCGGAGCCCAGCGGCAGCAGCACCCCCCTCCGGAGGGCCAACACCATTTAGGGTTGCCAGGTCAGGGCTGGGGAATACCTGGAGACTTTGGGGGGGGGCGGATCCAGGGAAGGGCGGGGCTTGGGGAGGGGAGGGGCCTCAGCATGGTCCAAGGCTACAGAGTCCACCCTCTAAAGCAGCTCCTCCAGGGGAGCTGGTCTCTGTCAGCTGGAGACCAGTTGTAAAAGCGGGAGATGGAAGTTGAAAGGAAGCAAACAGCCCGTGAGGTATTATGCCAAAAAAGTCTCTAAGGACCAGAAATTTCTCTTTCCAATATTCAGCTTGCTGGAAGCAATTCATCAACACCAAATTACATCTCGTTTGGTGTATAGCTTTATCAAAGTGGGCAGCATTGGAATACAATATTATTCTGTTATGTCCGCTGACTCCCACTAGGCGCCAGCAGTATGTGACCAGAGCTTGGCTCCAAAAGAACAATGCGGCCTAGGAGCCTGAGACTCCCAGTCGGCACCTTTCGGAACTGTGGCGGGAAGTTCAAACCCGCCAATGGCACCTCTGGGTTGCAACCGGGGACTGCATATAGCTGGTCCTTGGACCCTTTGTTGGTTGGTTGTTGTGTTGTGTGCCAGTAAAGTGTGAGCTGCTAATCACTCAGCCTCTGTCTTCCCTACCATCGAACTCAGTACACAACATATTCCATTTGACAAACTCTCTTGTAGTATCTCATAAATGGAGTTTCAGGAGTCAATTCCTGGGGGAGCGCAGGGGGGCGGAGCTCCGGCAGTCAGGAGGCCAGGGGGCGGGCACATGCAAGAAGCCCCGCCCCCTGCTCCCAGCAGCCCTCAGTCAGAGCCAGAAGCAGCCAGGTCAGCTGCAGAGGGACCCCCCCTCCCCCACCCTGTCCAGGGGGTGTGGCCTATGCAAATAAGTCGTGCTAAGGGGTTATGCTAATGAGCTCCTGCGCCTCTTTTCCTACCACGTGACCCCTGGATGGATTTGAGGAGCGGCCCTGTGAGATGCCTACTGGAGAGTGTCGCCACATGGCTTAGTGTTGTATTCCCATAGGAAGGAAACGAGAGATGTGCTGTTGGCGCTGATGGCGCCTGAATCGCTTCCAGCAACCTGAGCGCTGGGGGAGGGGGAGGGGGGGGGAGAGAAAGTTCTAGACCTTGAGAGACTTTCTCGGCCTAATACGTCACACGGGCTGGTCGCTTCCTTTCCACCGCCCACCCGGAGGGCCATTCGGGGCGGGGCCACGGCGACGGAAGGCCCCTCCCCCTCGGCGGCGTCTTCTGGGGGAATCCGGCCGGACCATAGAGACGCCCATTCCCAGCCGGGGCACGGGCCGAGGAAGCCCAGGGCCACGTGACAGCACGCGCGGGGGGGGGGGCGGCGCGCCACACGCGG